TCTTATTTGTCCAAAGTTACATCAAGTCCAATTTTTAAATTGTTGGGTATTGTATGTATGGGAATCCCACCATTAAATAGAAAAATAATTTAAAATATCTTAATATACTATTGATGGGCTTATTACATATAAGCTTAAACTTTTCAGTGAGCATGGGTTCTAGACATACATATTGAACCTTGGATCAATGGGCTCCCAGTCTCCCAACAAATTGTATATTTGTTCACGATACTCGTGAACTCTCAAAGAAACTGTGTAGCCTGCCGGTATTAATGAGGACCCCTAAGAAAAGTGATAGACTCTTGGTATTGAAGTCTTATAAATGCAACTCAAGGAAAGAGCGGACATGGGTTTTACATGCGTGAGAATCCCGTATCAGATAGAAAAAGAAGTTAAAAGTATCCTAATACAGTGTTGGTGGGCTCCCTATCTATAAGTTTAAGTTTTTAGGTAGGTATGAATTCTAGACATGTATATTGGCCTTCAAAGGCAGGTCTCTCTGTTCTCCCCACGTTACTCAACTATGTGTAAAAAATTGAGTTCAGATTTGGAGATATATTGATCAACTCATTTCATAATTTTCATTAGCACGAAAAATCTATACCTCAAATCCTACTTTACAAATTTATACTACAGTACCATTTTCCTAGAAACTACTTGCACAAGTATCAAGTATTTGACTCGGGACAATGTTAGTGACCTCAAAAATTTGTTATTTATCCGAGATTATCAACTTGCTACATATTTAAGTATAAATAGGGTAAATTATACTCGAACTCTCTGAAGTTTGTTACTTAATCATATATACTCATAATATTTAAAATAATACATTTAGACCTCCTAAGGTTTGTACGCGTGTAACACCTAGACCTTTACCATCGGTGTCTATTATTATATCTGTTAGAAATCTATGATGTCATCATAATATACAAATATAATTTCAACACTACCAATTTTTCTATGGCCCAATGTCAATTTTTACTGGGAAGTTACACACTAACTCATTTAGGTTTGTCACTTAATTACGTAAACTCCTTCACATCTGGAATATTACACTCAGATTTCCTAAAGTTTGTGCATGTATAAACATAGACCCCTAGTGCCAGTGTTTGGTAGTAGATTCGTTAGAGTTCCATAATGTCATCATAATATGCCAACATAATCCCACTATTACCCTTTCTTTTATGACGCCCAATATCAATTGCTTATCTTAGCTATCCTGCCACTACACAACCCATTAGACCAATGGAATTGGAGAACGGGTATACAAAATACCACATTTAGCATATGAAAATGACATTTAAGTTATTTTTTATAAATTAAGTGTTGTTATTTATGGATAAATATAATAGATANCATCGATATATACCTCCACAGATGTTCCAATTTGACCTTGGAACATCCGATTCACTAGGCGCCGGTAGGTGATTCCTGCGTTTTTCAGCCCAAAAGGCATGACCTGGTAATAATATGTTCCCTGCTCGGTTATAAAGGAGGTTTTCTCTTGGTCGGCTAGATCCATTCTGATTTGATTATATCCTGAGAAAGCGTCTATGAAACTGAGGAGTTCATATCCAGCCGTGGCATCTACTATCAGATCTATCCGAGGTAAAGGAAAGTTGTCTTTAGGGCATGCTCGGTTGAGATAAGTGAAGTCAATGCACAACCGCCATTTGCCATTGGTTTTCTTGACAAGAACCACATTGGCAAGCCAGGTAGGGTAGTCAACTTCCTTAATGGCTTTGGCGTGGAGGAGTTTACTGACCTCTTGATTGATTACCTTCTGGCATTCTAGGGCAAAACTCTTTCGTTTTTGCTTGACCGCCCAGCAGGTGGGATTCACACTGAGCTTGTGTGTGATGACTGAGGGGTCGACTCCTTCCATGTCTGCTTGCTTTCAGGCGAATACTCCCCTATTCTACTTTAGGAATTGGATGAGGAGGTCTTCTATTTCCTAGCTTAGCTTAGACCCGACGTAATCAAGGTGTTCAGGCTCCTCATCGAGCTGGACAGGCTCTAGCTCCTCTAATGGTGTTAGTTTAGTATCCAGTTCATCCCTCATATCTAGCTCATCTAGTTGGACATTCTCGACTTCCTTCTGTTTCATCAAGGTCAAGTACCACTCCCTCGCTAACCACTGGTCTGCTTGGACCACTCCAACTCTATTTTTCGTAGGAAAATTTCATAACCAGGTGATAGGCAGAGGGAATTGCCTTCATCTCGTTGAGGGAAGACCTCCTGAGAAGCATATTATATGCAGACGGGATATCCACCACTAGGAATCTTACTGTGGTGGTGGCCTGGCAGGGAGGATCTCCTATGGTGAGCACGAGCTGAATTGAGCTCAAGGGCAATACCCTTTCTGCTGCGAAACCCAACAAGTGAGCACTGACCGACTCTAGCTTTTCCCTACCTATATACATTTTGACAAACGCAGAAGCGAATATGATATCTGCTGAGCTCCCGTTGTCAATTAAAACTCGATAAACAGTTCTATTAGCCACAACAGCTCTAATCACTAGCGGATCATCATGGAGGTGCTGATAGCCTTCTAAATCTGAGTCTGAAAAGGTGATAGTCATGTTCAGCCAAGGCGTCTTGGACACTGTGTGTATTTCCAACACTTCGCCAGCTCGGATTCTGCGCAGGTGCGCCTTCTGGGCAGAACTGGACTCTTCACCTCCTGCAAACCCACCAGAAATTACTCTGATTTCGTCCGAGGATTGTTGGTGTAACACAGGAGCTTGTTGCTAAGGTGGTGGAGGTGGAGGGACTCGGTCCTGATTATCCCGAGTTACATAACGGCGTAACTAACTCCTATGGATTAGGAATTCAATCTCTTTCTTCAATTGGATGCAATCATCAGTATGGTGGCCATGATCTTTATGGTATTCACAATACTTTGTGGGATCCCTCTTTGTTGGGTCTACTTTCATTCGAGTTGACCATCTTAGAAACTTCTCACTTTGCACCTCGTATAAGATCTGAGATATTGTTACGGTGAATGGGGGGAGCTGTCGAGGTGCGTACCTTGGCTGTAGCTTTGGCTGTGATGGACCTGAGTGATGTCTGACATCTTCCCTCCTTTTGGGGGAACGATCTCTGTCCCTTCTCGGAGACCTATCACGCCCTCTTTCTCTTCTAGGACTTCGGTTCCTTTTTCTTTCCTTTTTCCTTTTGTCTTATTGCGTAGATGAACTTCCCACTTTTGAGAGAAGGGCCTCTTCACCGTTTATATATTTTTCTGTCTTAGCCAACAGCTCAGTCATGCTTACCTGAGGGTTCTTTGAAATACAGAACATCAGATATTTGAACTGTACGCCTAGACCAGCTATGAAGGCTGTAATGATGAACTTCTCATCTGGGACATCCATTTTTAATGACTCTGAGTTGAACCGCTGGACATAAGACCTAAGGTTCTCTGGGGGTCCTTGCTTCACGTTCAACAAGTGATAGCTCGGCTTCCGGTATATACGAGCTCCTATGAAGTGGGATACGAAAGATATGGACAGCTCTTTAAAGGAGGAGATTGAGGCCGGGGGAGCCTATTGAAATATGCCAGGGCTAACCCTTTTAGTGTGATGGCGAAGGCTCTACAACGCACTAAATCTTGGTATCCATGGAGCTCCATCTGATTTTTATAAGTATTTAGGTGGTCCACGAGATCCTTTGTCCCATCAAAAGCTTCTATCTGCAGCATCCTGAATTTTGGGGAGGGGAAAATGCAACACCCCTGCGGAGAATGGCGATTCAGTTTGTTGTACCAGAGCATCCATTGTAACTGGAACCTTCTTCTTCACAGCTTCCTTCATATGGCTGAACTCTTGCTGGATGCCATTGAAGCGCTACTCCCAGTACTGCTCACTCCTCTCCTGTTGATAAGGGAAAAAATCATTCCTTTCTTCCCCCACGTTTTGACTTTGCACCTCTTCGTTGCGTTCATTCCTTGGGGGTGGATGAGGATCTTGTCCCCAGGTCTGATTATTTTCCCCTCCTTCACCAACTTCTCTGAAGGGGTCGAGATGTTGTTGCCTTTCTTGAGGGAGGTTATTCTAGCCTTCTTGGGCCGGTCGTGCCTCCCCAGGGCGTTACAAGAGCTTCAAGAGCTCTTCATTCTCCTATATCAGACGTTGATTAACTAGACGAACAGCCTCTAACTCATTATTTGAGTGAGGATTCCCTATTGGGGGATTCGCCCCTAGGATGCTTTCAGGCTGTCTATCGTTGGCGGCTTCCTGTTGTTCTTGCATTCGTGGTAGATTGGTCTGACTTCTGCTCATGTTACGAGTTGAAACCATCAGTCACTGAAAGATCAACGTATTTATAACAGGAACAATCGTTCTCACAGACGGCGCCAAACTAATGGCGTTAATCAACGTGGATGAGCAAAAAGTGCAAGTGACGTGTGATGATCGTGGATTGGAGCTACAAGGCTCATGTGTGATGCTGGAATGTAATGCAGAGGGGATTTGAGGAGTGCACACAATGAAAATATAGTGGTTCACCAGCTCAGGAGCTCGGCTAGTCCACTTATTCAACAGAGACTATTGCTCCCACTCTTCTATTCACCACTCTAATGTATTATAATTCAGTATATCTCGAAATTAGGGTTTCTTTTTTTCTCCCCCTTCTATGGAGGCGTTACATAGTATTTATAGGACTATTCCCCATTCTGTCGGATCTCAATCGAGATCTCTGCCTGGAATTAGTGGAATTCTCCTTGATTTTATGAGAGAATCTTGATTAGTTGAGAGTTTCATGCTTCGAATCCAATTTTTACAGTTATCCAGCTGTTCCTGGGTCAGTTCCGCTATCATCTCCCTAGGGGAGCTTTGGCCTTGAACTTCGGAGCTCCTCGTATCCTACCTGACCTTGTTTCCTGAGCTCACTCATACAGCTTATTTAAGGTATCATCAAACACTAACATCAGGGATCTATGTGTTATATGTGCACAATCGTTGGCAAAACTCAAGGGGTCCGAGTGTAATTAACCCAATATCTTATGGAGCGCATTTTGATCTTTTATTTGGTTCCATTAGCTCCGTTAGTCTATCATCGCTAACAAGGGTCTGAATATAATATTTCACATGTGTGAGGTCTGTGATTAAGTGATAATCCTCAAGTGTAAATTATCCATATAAATATGAGAGAGAGGGGGGATCTGCGGTGTGGGGGAGGACACAATATGTACAGGCATTAATGTATTCGAGAGAAAATGAGAGAGACAGAGAACCTGGTTGCCATCGACGGGGACTTCTCCCTCACCAATGCGAAGGTCCAACGCTTTGACTCCCCCCGAATTTTGGAGCTCAAAGAACTCAGAAATGGCGGCTTTTGACCAACAACTATGATTCCGACAAAAAGCCAATACACCCAACGCTGTGGAGACAGTAGAGAGAGACAGTAGAGCTCTTCTTGTCGTTGGCGATGACTTTGCCGAGGACGATGAAGAAGTTGCAGATATCAGATTGAATGGAGTTTGTGGAAGAGAAAAAGGAGCGGTCAGATGATGGGGTTCATGGATAGATGATATTGACGCGGCACACTGAATCACCATCATCATCTTCATTCCAGTTTTGGCCTTCCAGCCGCATACATGTTTATGTCTTACACCAGTAGCCACATGTGGCGGGGGTTAAATCACAATTAGTTGCGATTTAATTGTGAGTTTTAATATTAAGAAAAGTTTATTATCAATTCAATAATTATATTGAAGTTTCAAAATTAAAATTTTAAATTAATTTTAAATAGCATTTTTTTTAATAATATACCATGCTGCTTTTAGTTTATAATATCTGTGGAACTATTTTATATCTTTTAAATTGGGAAAAATATGTGGTATCACCCGCGGTACCGTATTAAAAATTATAACCTATAAGGTACAAATGTATAAATCGGTCTGATCCGAAACATAAAAATTATAATTTTTAAAAATAATTATTATTTAAAAATTATATTAAAACTTGTAAATGAGAAATTACAACTAGTCAATTAAATTTTGTATTTCTCTCGGTGGCCCAACCAATACAAGAATCTTATGCGAAAATATTTAGAGGGGCCCAAAGGCTATGAAATAAAATAATATAGATACGGAAAAATAAATATTAAAATATTAACATATAATCATTTAAAAGTTATTTTTCTTATATTTGAGGTGTAAAACTATTAATTTTGCATTCAAGCTTTAGTTATAAAAAAATCATTAATTGAAATTGAATTTGGAGACTAAAATATAATTAAATATGCTATCAGTTAAAAATACAGAAAAATAATTAAAATTTATTAATACAACTAAATTATTTTTTAATACAACTAAATTATTTTTTTATAAAGAAAATATCTGTAATAATTTTTAATTGTAAATTAATCAAACTTAATATGTTTTTGTATTACTCTGTGTGTTTTTTGTGTATTTAAAAAAAATAATTGAGAAAAAATTGGATCCATATAAAAAAATGTCTCAAATTTAAGTTAAGAAAAAAATATAATTTATGAAAATTAGATGATAAATAATTAAATAGTCAATTGACTTTGATTGTAGTACATTATTATGCGAGGAGATAACTCATTTTTCAATATTTACATAAACATAAATAAGATTGAAAAAATAAAGATAATATAAGAATAATCATTCAATCGTATCATGTCATAATTTACTTAATATATGTCCATCCTTTTTATAATTATGTATAGTTTAATAAGTTTGAGTAGCATTTTTATTGGGTCATGTTGACTTGCTGATTTGAAGGGTCAAATAATTTCATCAATTTATCTTCTAAATCTACTAAGACTAGATTCAAACTCATTAATATCATATAATTTTTTTTTAGTTTATAGATTGTACCTAAAATTGTAAGACTAGTTAAAATTGAAGGCCCTAAAATAATTTTAATCGAACTTTAAAAAAAATTTTGGAACCCCAAATATTATTATTCATGTCCTTAGTAGCCTATGTCTAGGACCGGCCTCTCTCTCAACTAATTGTAACTTTACATTTTAAAGGTGTAACATTATCATTAAAAATAGTAGCTTTTGGTCAAGTACTGAAATTTTTCTTCCAATACCATCGACTTTTCCTTGAATTTATATTTACATAACCTCGAGGTAGCCCAATGGAGATATAACGAATTGTAAAATTAGACTTCCAATATTCAAAACTTTAACAATTTTTTAGTGGTCAAGTTCCGGCTTGGATGGCCTACGAAATTTTATTGACACTTTTAATCAAATTTGACACAATTAGCACAGTCATATGGTTATACATAGTACCACACCGAAAATTAAAAACTCCAATTTTTTATTTTTAAGTTATTTCTGTGTAGGGCTGGTGTGTCGATGAATCGAATTCAAATTGAATTGTAGTCAATTCAAATCTGAATTTGATTAATTTTTTTGATCCAAATCTGGTCCGATTAGCCGATAAATTTTATTTTCATAGTTCATATCAAAATTTTCTAAGAATCAGATATTTTGTTGAAATTTGACTCGAACTCTTTAATTATCATGAATAGGGGTGTTCACCCTATTTTACGAGTAAGAATTATGGTGTTTTATTTTCCTACCCGATACTTTACGAAAGTATTGTTTCTTGGTCNCGGATATTCTGTTGAAATTTGACTCGAACTCTTTAATTATCATGAATAGGGGTGTTCACCCTACCTACCGAGTAGGAATTATGGTGTTTTATTTTCCTACCCGATACTTTACGAAAGTATTGTTTCTTGGTCTACCTTACCCGATCAAGTGGACTATTCTTATCCGAATTTCATTCAATACAATTGGGTTGAAAGTCGGGTAGGAAATTAGATGAACACATATTTAGTTATTAATTTTTAGATCATTTTAACAATTTGATTGAATAACTTGCACCAATTAATTAACACAATAAACTAATAACACTAAAAAAAATACAATAGATTTGATAATATATAAACAATTACAATAGAGTCAAAAACATCAATACATCGTATATAAGAAATTCATAAACATCAATAAAATATTAGAGTTNGGTGAACACATATTTAGTTATTAATTTTTAGATTATTTTAACAATTTGATTGAATAACTTGCATCAATTAATTAACACAATAAACTAATAACACTAAAAAAAATACAATAGATTTGATAATACATAAACAATTACAATAGAGTCATAAACATCAATACATCGTATATAAGAAATTCATAAACATCAATAAAATATTAGAGTTTCTAGATTTTTGAATTTTAATTTTTAAAGATTAATATATTATATATATAGATATTCTGCATTCCTAACCAAATTTTTGCTAAATACAAAAAAATCTTCCGTTGACTTACCCAATTCTTTCGAGTAGTCAATTAGTAGGGCCGATAGGGTAGGTAGGGTCAGAATTTATGGGTAATCGGAAATTTGAACACCCCTAATCATAAAAGGAGTTTATTGGATAATCAATGTAAGAATCTTGAATAGAATACGAAACATATTAGAAGAGTCTTATTAAACTTATCCTTGATTTATTAGTGACTTGATAGCAAACATATATACTTGACAGTATCCAAATTGAATTGGGTTACAATATTTTATCCTTTTTAAATAAGGCTGAGTATTAATACATCGATATAAATTTTTGGTCCGTGGAAATAGATACAGGGTAACAAAATGGGTACGCTGTGTCAAACCACGTTATATATTTATGTCATGTTTTTATTATTTTTCCAATCTTTGAATTCCTATCATCTAACTTATGGTATCAATGCTAATTATCTATTGTACAAAACTAACTAATGGTATCAGAGCTAGATTGATCATCCTGGTGGAACAATCAAGTTGTTGATGATCCAATGATAAAGTTGATGTTTATGTTTGATGGTGCAGACCAATGTGGGTGAACAGAGTGCGTGGGACTAAAGGTAAATCTAGGCTGTCAACTTCATAATGATAGTGATCAAGTGTTTCTTAGGGGGTAGGGGAATTTGCACAGTAGGAATATAGTGGTTCATCGGCTCTGAAGCTCGGTTAATCCACTCTCTAATTGAGGCACTTGTTCCTTTTTTCTCTATTGATTACTCGAATGTATTACAGTATCATGCTTGATCTAATTTGGGTTTTCTAGGGTCTCTCCTCTCGATGAGGCGTTACATAGTATTTATAAGGCTGCTCCCTATTATATGGGATTTCAGTCGAGATCTTTGCCAATTATTCATGGGATCCTCCTTGATTTTAGGAGAGAATCTTGGTTGATTGAAAATTTCATGCATTGAGCTCAATTTTCGCAGTTATCCAGCTATTTTCTAGTCGGTTTTGCTATGATCTCCCCAAGGGGAGCTCTATCTCTGGTTCTCTAAGTTCTCCGTATCTTTTCTGACCTCCTGACTTGACCTCTTTTCCTGGTCTCACAGCTAGAGCTTGTTTGAGGTATCATCAGTTGCCCCCAGCCCCTGGTTCAAGGAGGGGTTAAGCTATTTTTTAAACCGAGCTGGATCTGTACGTGGCTGACCTTGGCTTNAATTTCATGCATTGAGCTCAATTTTCGCAGTTATCCAACTATTTTCTAGTCGGTTTTGCTATGATCTCCCCAAGGGGAGCTCTATCCCTGGTTCTCTAAGTTCTCCGTATCTTTTCTGACCTCCTGACTTGACCTCTTTTCCTGGCCTCACAGCTAGGGCTTGTTTGAGGTATCATCAGTTGCCCCCCAGGCCCTGGTTCAAGCAGGGGTTAAGCTATTTTTTAAACCGAGCTGGATCTGTACGTGGCTGACCTTGGCTTGCACGTGATTGAGGCCCTTTTGACGGTTTTCAACAATCATAGATTCCTCGTTTCCTGCGCACGTTTCAACCCACCTCTCTCAAGCTTTAAATTATCAAACGGCTATCTGAACCGCTTTTTTCCATTGTTCAACTTCTCTGCTGCTTCTCTCTTCTTATGATTTTATGGCTTTCTGGTTTAGAGTTCTCTGATTCCTCGTTCAAGATCGAGTTTTGTGGGTTCGATTTGAAGATTCGNACCGCTTTTTTCCATTGTTCAACTTCTCTACTGCTTCTCTCTTCTTATGATTTTATGGCTTTCTGGTTTAGAGTTCTCTGATTCCTCGTTCAAGATTGAGTTTTGTGGGTTCGGTTTGAAGATTCGCGTTGCCCCCTTTCTTTCATTTCACTCTAGGCTGCTGTTCATTGCCCTTTCCTAACTAGGTACGCCCTTTTGTCTCTTTTTCACCTTTTCTCATTCTGGATCCCTCGNCCCTTTCTTTCATTTCACTCTAGGCTGCTGTTCATTGCCCTTTCCTAACTAGGTACGCCATTTTGTCTCTTTTTCACCTTTTCTCATTCTGGATCCCTCGAATTCGAGGTGGCCATTGCATTTATGGGCTTTTCGGTTCTTTTACTTTTGGAATCGAAACTATTGCTTGTCTCTCTTCCCCACTTCATGGACTGGTCTTCTATCGTGCGAATCCTTGTTGTTGGAAGCTNTATGGGCTTTTCGGTTCTTTTACTTTTGGAATCGAAACTATTGCTTGTCTCTTTTCCCCACTTCATGGACTGGTCTTCTATCGTGCGAATCCTTGTTGTTGGAAGCTACTGCGTTGACCC